CAGTGTGATTTCAGTGTTTCTCACCACATATTAATCCCCAATTTGCATAAAAGCAGAAACAGTTCCAGTGCTATGGTAAATTCAGTTCCCTGTTTCCCCTCATTGCGTATGTCGAAAGCATGTCATCTTCAGCTGACGCTGCACTGCAGGTCTTAGACAGGCTTAATTCGTCCGTGTTTGTACCGTTATTTCTCTCTATTTGTCGGGTAAGCGAACTTGAACGTTGTTTGTAAAACGGTTTTTCGTTAAACGCGTTTTAAAGGACAAAATGTGTTGTTAGCAGAGGTTTTAATGCTCAAACAGGTAAACTTGCTTAATGCTAGCTTTCTCTCCGTTTCCCATCTCTCAGAGTAGCACAGATTTAATGCGCATTTCTAATTAACGAACATTTAGAGACATTCTGCTGTTCGGACTCCAGTGGTGTGGATGTCCCATAGCCTCATTAGTCTCGCTAAGTTGTGTAAATAAACTTGAAACATATGAAAGTTTTGTTGCTGATATAAATAAACTGCATCACACAGCACAGTAATTAGTCTGCGTTATTATCTTTAGACTAGTTATCTAAGTGCACCTAGGAAATTTATTTTGGTCAGCTCTCACCGTCTCACTGTAGTCTTTTGAAGCTAAAGTCTTACTGTTATGGTAGTAAAGTGTCTTTTCTTCAAGGTTTTTCATCAATACGGTTGTTTTACACTAGAACACAGGGAACAGTTAGCTGGTACTGATGGAAAAAGGTTTCTCCCATATATTACAATATAAAACAACTTAAACTGAATTAAAAAGAACAATAGTGATTGTGAGCAACTGTTCTACCTTTGAACACAAGTTTCATCCTTATCCTTTAATAATAAGAACACAGCAGGGAAGAGGTTTTACTGGCAGCCTTGGAAAGGTGTCTCCCCTTGGAGAGATACAGCTAGAGTGTATTTAAAGTACAATAATGATGCTGAATATCTATATCTGTAAATATTCATTTCACTCAACAACTTTTAGTCATATTATACCAACTTTACTCCGAGAATACAGGGGGACATCTTTAACCAGAGCCTGAGAAAAGTGGTTTCCCCTTGTATATTTCAGCTGGAGTGGATTTAAAGCACCATAATGATACTGCAAATCTGTATTTTGCTGCGTGTAAAACACAGGCAGATAAGAGCTGCTATCATGTTTATAATGTTGGATCCAGACGTCAAAGCACTCTCTTTACAACTTCAGCTCTGCTGCCAGTTTGTAGTGAAACATTTTCCAGCTCTCACGGTGATTTCAGCGCTTCTCAGCCCCATATTAACCCCCAGTTTGCGCATTTGCTGCGTACAGAAGCACAAAAGGTCCAGTGAGCTCGGCTCTGTGTCACGTGATCTCTGAGGAACTCTGGGGGTTTGAGTTCTTACTCGTAGCCCGAACTCGTTGTGTGTTATTCTCTCTCTCTCTCTCTGCCCGTCGTCTAGTTTGAGCGCTCTCACGACAAAAAGACAACCACCTCTGCGCCAAACTGAGGTTCCGTCTGTATGAATCTGTTTTATAAATCTGTTGGGAGTTTAAAAGCCGTGTGGTGACCGCGCAGCCTGTCTGCGCACCCGGGATCTGAGGGAAAAGGCGGGAGCGGTTAGCCTCTCAGGCAGCTACAGCTCGCTAACACTTCTCACAGGTTTACTCGGTAATACCTTCAAAAATACACAAAATACGCCTACAGAGCACCCGGATAAAGAACCCTGAGGGTATTTCGCTTCGCATTTAACCATTTTTATCACTTTTTACACTACAGTGAACGTTTTAAGCACTTTATAACTCAGAGCTGAAGTTTTACCAACCTCTCTCCGGCCGTGCTGTAACCGGACTGAAGAGCGGTCGCGTGACGCACAAGATGACATCATAGCGACGCCCACAAACAATACAAACAGTTATACGGTTTTATATATATCTATATCTATATCTATATCTATCTATCTATCTATAGATATATATATATATATATATATATATATATATATATATATATATATATATATATTTGTGTGTGTGTGTGTGTGTGTATTTATACATACGTCCATTTTTGTGTCCCTGGCATTTACAGATATACTTAAAAAAACATAAAAAACATGTTAGAGTTCCGATTTATTTATATTTTAAAATAAAGCAGTAAGTTATTTCAACAATTACACCTTCTTGATCCATCAATATAGCAATATTGGTTTTTAAATCAATCATATAGAATTCCAAGCATCACAGAAGAGCTCGTCCCCACAGTCATGTGTAAAGGCTGAGGCAATATTTTTGAAGAAAAAAACACATTTTTCTATGATTTTAACTGCAATAATCTATACATGACTACGAAATATATGATTTAAATGCCATACAGAAAACAAACACCAAATAAATATTATAAAATATATAATGAAAGTTGTTGTCCCCAGGAGTCGAGTCACTGGTGTTACCGCATAACAAAAAATCTCTGATTTTGAAATAAAAGTCACACTGATGACATCACTTGACTTCCTTTTACCTGTTTTCTGAGGATCTATGAAGAAAAGCACATGGTGAGTCCGCTGTGGATTCACCAAAAGTGGACGTTTCTGTAGAATGACCCAAATGCCAGTTGAGAAAGCATAAAGATTTTGAGGGAAATGTAATGAAACTAAATTAAATTCAATTCAATTCAATTCAACTTTATTGTCATTATACTGAAACAGGGTTGTACAGTACAACGAAACACTTTTAGGCTAGATCTCCAGTGCAATTACAGACAACATAGTGCAGGACAGGGCATAGTGCAGGGACATAGAACAATAAATACAGAAAATAAATACAAGTATATACACTGCAGTAAGTGCAGTAAATAAAACCTGTTACATTTTCCTCCCTCTGAATTCACCAAAATCTTCAAAAGTGCATGAAAACTCTACTCAGATGGGACCGGCATGAGCTCACATGAATCTATTTTATGTACTGTAATGAGTGCAACCTTTTTGAAGGTTAAGAAGAATTTTAAGGGTGATCAGGCCTCAGTAAACTTCCTAGAATAGTGTGATGCCATGTACACCATACAACCTACTGTACTGATACACCAGTCCTTTTAGAAGTACAAAATAAAGTGTAACAACTTTAAGTCACATTTTACATTAGTTAAATAAGTATATATATTTTGTAAAAAAAAAATGTAAGTAACAACTGGAATTTCTCGCTCAAATTTTGAATGGTCTTCAAGCTGAACTGCTTTTGGGCCATTGTTTTAATTAGATGGTTGACCTTTTTGGCCACCCTACCAGTCCATGTGATCTGACAGTTTGTCTTGGTCTGTTCTCTGACTGGGCACTGACAGGTCAGAAATAATTCTTGTGGGTTCAAATCCCATGACTGACTAGGTATTCCTGTTTGTCCCCTTGGGCAAGGCACTGCCCCAGCTGGCACTGCTCTGCAAGGCATGGTTTTTTAGTTTAGCTAGATAACTTAAGCTCAAAGTCAAGCCTGTCCAATAAGAAACAAGCTGAGGGACGTTCCCATTGGACACTCCTCATCTTTGGACATTAGTCATCTGGCTAACTGAGAAATCCTGCATTGTGGAATACCCCCCTGGTGTGGGACTAATAAAGGATTATCTTATCTTTCTGACGTCAAACCTCCACTATCAGAAAGTTCACCCCACTGACTAAAAATCTGTCTCAACTTTTGATCCTCCTGACACAGTTTTACTGCCACACCAGAATGTATGTCATTGAAGGTGACCCTTCCAGCACCCACAGGCTTGTTCTGTCTTCAAGGTTCTCTTCTCCCAGAAAATCAATCATATTTGAGGACTGCAAACTGACATCAGACTCTCTGAATCATCAGCTGGGAACATCTCACTTCCATCACGATCACATGCAAGAGGCAAGTACTGTGGCTTCCCAGTGGTCAGCAAGCTTTCTCTTTCCCTGCTCTCCTTTATTAGCCACCATTGTTCCCTCTCTCTCTCTGTTCCCTCTCTGCTCTTTTTAAAAGGCTGAGCACCTGAGCCCACAGAACTGCCCTGTGATAGACTTACTTGTCAAATGGATCTTTTAAGATTAAGTGCAATGATTAGTCCCACAACGGGGAAATTTCACCTCCGCATTTAACCCATCTGTGCAGTGAAAACAACCACATGCACACTAGTGAATGCACACACACTAGGGGGCAGTGAGCACACTTGCCCAGAGCAGTGGGCAGCCCTAGCCATGGCGCCTGGGGAGCAGTTGGGGGTTAGGTGCCTTGCTCAAGAGGGGGCCTAGAATTTTGTGCTATGCCACCACTGGTCTACTTCTGGTCTTGCTGGTCACCCAGGAAGGTCATAGTGGTTGCTGGTTTTACTGGTGGTCTATGCTGATTTTTCTGGCCGGGATGTGGAAGATTTTGATAGGTTATTAAGTGCAAAACCTTAATGTACTGTATCTTTTTGTGGAAACAAGAAATGACAAAGTAATGTTGCTATGCCAACGAGCATCTTGTGGAACTATCATTGATTTTAAACTAACAACAGCACTTTGTTGTGCATGCATTGGTTTATTTTTGGTTTTCCTTTGTTGGTTTAATAAAAACTTGCTTTAAACTCAGGTTCACAAATGAGTTTCCTTTACTAAACTGCATCTGTAGGTCTCTGTTTGTAAACATAAACTAGCCAAAACAAATTTACTATAAAATGAAATAGTGTTTGTATAAATTCAGAAAAAAGAAACATGTCAGTCACAACTGCATCTGTGTACATATTTCTATATTGTGGTCTGTTTACACAAAGTTAGTTCATCATTTATGTTGAATAGACTCTCCCAATATTTTACGCTGCTGCTCTGACGTTGAACCGTGTGCTGCACTGGGTCAACAGGTCAAAACAAGCTCAAAACAAAGTGACCGCTGTGACCTGATTGGTGTTCTTTCTTCACGCTTCTTTCATTTTGACATCCTACGTTTTTATACACACATAAACCAAAAGGAGCGACAGATTTCTCATAATGTAGAGGAGTAAAAAGTAAGATATTTGACTTTGAAATGTAGTGGAGTGAAAGTAAAAAGTCACCAAACTAATTAAGTACGGTAACGAATTACATTTACTTAGTTACTGTCCACCACTGATTACGAGTCTTTTGGACGTCCCATGCCAAAACCATGGGCATTAATATGGAGTTGGCCAGCTATAACAGCTTCCACTCTTCTGGGAAGATTTTGGAGAGTGTCTGTGGGAATTTGTGCTCATTCAGTCTAAAGAGCATTTGTGAGGTCAGGTACTGATGTTAGACGAGAGGGCCTGGCTCACAATCTCTGTTCTGTGACTAAAATCACAAGAACACTTTTCTTTACAGGTTCTACCCACATAACAACAAATACTGTTTCATATGAAAGTTTTCAGTTGATTTCAATGGCTTTGACCTCTTCTCCCAGGAACACAGTTCTTTATTTTTCTGTATGTGTAGGTATGATGAATGTGTGATAGGATACAGAGTTCATCACCTTATTGGGGAAGGTCTGTTTGATCTCTTTTTGAAGTTTCTTCATCGTTTCTGGGTTGGTGGCCATGTTGTAGAAGAAGAAGGACAGTGTGGTGCTACTCGTCTCATAACCAGCAAAGATGAAGGAGATGGATTGAGATAAAATCTCATGATCACTCAGACCTTCTGAGGTAAAACATACACAAAAAGAAGTAATTTCTTATGTATTTAAAGCCAATAACATAACAGTCACTCTGATGTGCCTCATGTGCCTCAAATCGTGAGATTTCAGGAAACTATTGAACCATTTCAGATTTGCTTAATATTTTCAGGAAATAATGCCATTGTAGATAGTGTGCAAAATTTTAAGCTTGTATTGCGATTAGTTTCTGAGGTATAGAAACTTTAACAAGTGGGCCTGGCCTTAATTTTAACTTTAAATGAATGCTATGAAAAACAACAGTACAAACTTTCTAAAAACCTCTCTTCAGAGGTGTCATGCGCCCAACGTAAAAAGGTACTGTTGCTGCCAATGGGCTGGGAATTTCTTGCTGCCTGTTGAAGTACCTGTTTAATAAAAGAGCATTTGCTGTACATGCAATGCTTTCCATGTTTTCTTATATGCCAGTGCCACATTTTGAACTGTTGATGCTAGATGCATTTTTTTTTTATTTTCTTATAGGTCAGTTGCAGAAATGTTAGTTACATCTTGTATCTTATCTAATACTGTTTTAGCTGTGTAGTACATAGTGTATGTATTTAACATTTTTTTTTTTTGTATAGTCCAACCTTTTCCCAGAAAAATAATTTAACGAATACATGACACATACATGACACTAGCTAATGTGTTGGGATCTGTATATCTACAGACACTAGCTTGAGAGAATTTAAAAGGACTGAGAAATGAACTTGAACTTTATAAGTCTTTTATTTCCAACATGTGTCTGTTGACGAAAGAGAGAGAGAGAGCGCGAGAGATTGAAATAAATCTTCAAAAGACATCTGTTCGAAGTGTGGCCATTAATTCATTGAACCAGCGTAGATACAATCAGACACTCTTATTACTTTAAGACCAATACCTAATTGGCAAAAATGTGCCACTGTATGTAATAAATTTTAAAATCTGAAAAATACAATATACTTAATTGTGAAAATATGGAGGCCAAATTCTTTCAATGGAAAAAAAAAACAAAACCCCCATGTCACACCTCCCTTCAGCACAGCTGGAACTAGAGCTGACACATCCGCTTCAAACTACAATTCCCAGAACCCCTCGCTGCTTCACATGACACAGGACTCCAACTGATCAACCTATCAGCGCTCAGCCTCACCGGACTTCTGATCATTCACACACCTGTTCCTCATTTCATGTATTAGTTAGTTTAGTATATAAACTCGGGCTTTAGCGTAGCTTCTTTGCGAAGTATCATCTCAATATGAGCATACCGAGCGTTCCTATATTGCCTATTTATCGACTTCCATGTATGACCTATTTTTCCGTTCTGACCTTGATTTTTGCCTTGCCTTTTTGTCTTGTTGTGGATCTCTGGTTTTTGACTTCTTGCTCTCGTTTTTCGTCTGTATTTGAATGATCCCTTTGTTATTAAAGATCTTAACTCAAGCTTTGCCTGCAAGCGTATGGTTCCGTCTGCCACCATTACAGGATACTTTGGTACTTTGGCGGACATCCAAGGTGTAACGAACAATGGCCGGAATTTCAACTCTAGCTGAGTGTTTACCCAAAGTTAAGGGCCTTTTAGCTCCAGCAAGTCTGGGAGTGAGGCGTAAAGCTGTCGGCTTAATACCCCCAACCCCAGACTCAGTCAGATTTACAGCTGAATTCACCCAGCAGAAAAACAGGACACTTCCTCTGGAATGTGGCAGAAGCCTCTCCAAGGTACTGTGGACAACTTTTTATCTTAAGTAACAGAATGTACATTTCTAAGGTGTTTGTCCACTCCAAACTGCAACCATTTGTTAGAACTCTTTTTAACTAAACTAGACATACCAAAACGGAATTTGTACGACTTTGGACAGCAAAATTCCAACTTTCTAAATTCCCTAGGGATCTCAAGCATGGACCCACAGCACCCCAAGGGGTGAAACCGCAAATTACTGCATCACCACCATAAGGACTTGTGCTTATAAAAAGCAAGAAAACTTTGTGCTTTGTCTGCTTGATTCTGCTTGATGATTCGTGCTTTGTCTGCTTGATTATCAAAGTTGCTATGATCTGTAAGTAATACTACTTGTGGTATTAATCTTGTTGTTGGGTAGTACCTAAATATTACCTGTATCTTTTTCTATCATTAAGTGCTAGAAATATGTAGAGTATAACTTTGATAACAGTCAGACCCAACCAGTTAATTGCTATGAGTTTAGACCATTGACCAAGATGTATCCTGAATGTGGTTTTCTTTTCTTCCTTTGTTCCTTTTCTTTTATTGTTGATTTTATTTTTTTCATGCATTGGGTCATGTTCAGAGTTGATAGCCAAGTAGTACCTGTGTTCTTTGACATGTATTGTGTATCAGGTAACAAGGGTTAAACGCTCTCTTAGAAACATGCCTGAATATCCTAATTGTTCATTCCTTGATTTTGAAAGTTAAACCAATTGGATGATATAGAAATGTTCTTTTTCTTTGTTTAAACTAGCTGAAACAAAGGAGGCAGTGATTTTGGGGAAGGCATTCCTCAAACTATGCACAACCAATCAGAGAACCTTAGGTGAAGAGAACCTATCAGCACTCTGGCACCACCTCCAAAGGGTAGGGCCTCCAGCTGAGCAAAACCAGAGTGCACCGCAAATTTGGGGAGTTCCTCAATCGCAACAAAAGTTTCTGAGTTTGTGCCGGCCTAGGTCAGAAAGACAGGTCAGAAGTATTAGGAAGCTAAATTATCAGATCTGAAACCTTTGTTTGTTTTGTAACTTGCCTGTTCGTCTACACACCTTAAGTTTGAACCACCCTCAGAGAAGGAAGGTGGATATTTGTTGTCGGGCCAGGGAGGATATATCCATAACTTTCGATTCTGCTGAAGAGAGGTAGTTAGTTAAATTGGTACCACCAGCCTCAGAACCCTGATTGCAACCTGAACCTCACCAGCGGAGTGGGAGCTGTTCGGACGCCACAGAGACCCAGCATCACACCCAGAGCCACGCACTGATCTGTGAACAGATCGACCCTCAAAAGGCCGCCCAGGCTCCACCGTCAGACGGCCACGAGACGCCTCCGCCCAATCACTGACGGGAAGGCGCGTGCCCGCACGGAGATGCAGCATCCACGGCCAGCGAGGAGAGGAACCACCACGTGAGCTCTAGCCTTCGATCGAGTCTGTCCTGAGACGACCCCTCCTGAAGTCGGCCCCCGACTCCCACGTAAGCTGGAACCATCAATTTACAGTCAGGGCCCTGACGCCAATTTATTTAATAAGAGAACTTTTATAGGTACATCCAGCCATATAGTTATTCCCATCCATGCTTAGGTTGATTCTCTAGAGGCTCTCCTAAGCGACTTCCCAAACCACACTGCCTCATACCATTTAGCCGTGAATCACTCTAACTTACTCGAGCTATTTTGTCTTTCATTACTATCACTTTGTTTTGTTTTGTTTTCTTGTTTTATTTTCTATTGTTTATCATTGAATGTAGTCCAAAAGTAGTTTGATATTTAGCCAATAAATTCCCTTTTCTGAAGCATCCTTGGTGCGAGCGTTTCTCTCTCTTGCCCTGGTCTGTAGACTTCAAATAAATCCGGGTTACCTCACACCCTCACATAAGGTTCTAGCAATAATAATGTTAAAAATTGCAAAACCCGTTACAAAGGTCACCTTCTAGGACATCACAAGCAGGTATTGGCAGGGGTTACTCAGTCTGTTGGGGACCAAGTCATTGATTCATCTATTAGACTTGACCAACTCTTGCAAAAATGGCCTTTGCACAAAAGTTCTCCTTGTACATATGTAAGCTTCCGTTCCAGTTCCAGCTCCAGCTCCAGCTCTAGCTCCAGTTCCAGTTCTCATGCCAGTTCCAGGTCTACTTCCAGACCACTTCCTGAACATATGTAATGCGATTTGTCCAGACTGGCCAGAGAGGAGAGGCATCGCTGTTTATATGCAGGTCTGTGCACACTCTGTTCGTGCAGCTGGTCACATTTTACGTGACTGTCGGGCTCCTCTGCACAGGCCTCAGGCACCAACCTTGGGAAAGCACCTGGATTTTAATCCATTCTCACGAAGTCTGTTCTCCTACAGGTTACCATACTCTTCAGTTAATCTTCTCTTGTTGTTTCAGTGCTGATAGATTCAGGAGCAGAGGAAAACTTCATCCATGCCAATGTGGTTGCCCAGCTACAGTTTCCAGTGTTGAATCTTCAGACATCAATGAAAGTCGCCGGGCTGGATGGAGGACCCCTTGGACTGGACCACATCTCCTTCATCACAGAACCCTTTCAGCTTGAAGCTAGCTTTCTCCATAAGGAACAACTATCCTTCTTAGTATCAGACTCTTCAGAATTCTCCCACATCTTAGGTGTCTCTTGGCTTCAGAAACCCTAAATCTCTTTGTCCAATTAAATCACCGCTTGGTCTGATTGATGTCAGTCACATTACTCTACTACCCCTGAACTGAAAGTCATGCCCACTTCCATTGAAAGCCCAGAAACTCCTCAGGTCACTCAAATTCCCCCTGAATATTCTGATTTGGCTGAGATGATTAGCAGAAAGAATGCCATTAAACTTCCTCCTTGTTATCCTTATGACTGTACCATAGACACTGTAGAAGGGGCCACTTTACCAAAATCTAGACTCAAGAAGAGGAGAGAGCCATGGGAGAGTCTACTGATGAGGCGCTGACTCAAGGTTTCATTCGTCCCTCAACCTCACCAGCAGCTTCTGGATTTTTCTTTGTCTAAAAGAATGATGGCAGATTAAGACCCTGTATTGATTATTATGCTTAATGAAGTCACTAAGAAAATTGCATACCCTCTACCACTGTTCCCCATAGCTTTGGAACAACTTAGAGGTGCTCAATATTTCACCAAATTAGACCTCCGTAGCACTTATAATTTAGTCCAAGTTAAGGAGGGTGATGAATGGAAGACTGCTTTCATCACCACTAGGGGCACTACGAACATTTTGTCATGCCTTTTGGCCTCTCTAATGCCCCCATCTGTCTTTCAATCATTTATCAATGATGTTCTTAGGGACATGATTGACAAATTTGTCATTGCCTACATAGATGACATTATGATCTATTCGCCCGATTATGACACCCATGCATGTCAAGTCAGACAAGTCCTTCAACGTCTCCTAGAGAATGATTTGTTCATTAAAGGGGAGAAATGTGAGTTTTACCTTAAACAGGTCTCATTTTTGGGGTATATCATCAGCGCACAAGGGGTAACTATGGATTATCACAAGGTTGAAGATGTAGTTAACTGGCCCACTCCGAGCTCTGTAAAAGACTTACAGAAATTTCTCGGTTTTGCAAACTTTTACAGACATTTCATCAGAAACTTCAGCACCATAGCCACACTCCTTACAGCCCTCCTTAAAGGTACTTCTAAAAAACTGATCTGGACCTTGATTGCTGAGACAACTTTTTTTGAACCTTAAGACAGCTTTCAAGCCGGTCCACGCCAAGGCAGGGAGTTGTTTGAGATTTTTGTTCCCTCAGGGAGAAGCAGTCTGCTCTGGAATAGCTGATCATGCATCGTCAGAGCCATTTGGTGGATCCCCGGGGGCAAAGAAGTCATGGTTTTTTACAGGTGAAGCAGCCAGTGCTGAAGGAGCTGAACATGCAGTGCCAGTGCCAGTGGGTGGATCTCTGAGGGCTGTGAGCAGTGCACATGAGCCAGTATTGAAGATGCAGTGGATGACAGAGAAAATGGAAAGATGACCAGGGGATCAAGCAGGAAAAGTTTCTGCCAGCAGAGAGAATCTGGGTGTTTACTCTGTGCCGCCTGAAAGGCTGCTCTCCCAAGCAGGACCATGAATGAATGGGACCCTGCCTCATGGTGGAGAGGATGCCAGACATATCAGGTGTGCACCAGAACCACACCACATGGTGTTGCAACAGGACTACCTGGCTCTGTGTTGGGAGGATCAGGAGGGGCACCCTTGTCCTCAGAGACCTACAAAACCTTTATGCCCCAGGATGCTTGCAGACTGAGGAGGCAACGGACCCCTAGACACTTCAAAGATTGGTCTAGTGGGACTGGTAAGCAATGTGTCACTGTTCTTCAATAAAGAGTGAGGGCAATGTGGCATCAGAACATGCCTGTGTTCCAATAATAGGTAGTGTTTTCAGAAGTTGTTTTTACATGTTAATTTTAGGTTCGGGGTTTATTCTCTGTGGACTTCTCTTAGTCTGGAGGGCAGGGCTGTGTGTGTGAAGTGGGCAATAAGAGTGGACTTTAGTGAGTAGGAGCTGTGAGCTAGCTAGTTAGAGAGCATGCTGCTATGCCTGTACTCTGTTTACTGATTCAAGTTTCTAATAAAGCTGCGTTATGGGCTCAAAGTCTTTGTCTATGATTCTTGTGAGAATCCCTTACGTTCAAATACCAACAACATACCATCATTGCATACCAATAACGTAACATCATAATTTAACAACATAACATACCAGTATAACATCATAACATAACATACCACCAACATAACTACATCATAACAACATAATATTACCATCAACATAACATAACATACATAACATAATACCACCATAACATTATAATATAACAAAATAACGCAACACCATAACACAGCATATATGAAAACATAACATCATAACATAAACAATTGAGGTTGGTGATTGAGCTGATTGAGCAAATTGAGTTCTCTACGCTGCTGTCGGTTGAATGAGCGAGGCTACCACCATTAAAATATCTGAATGTTTTAATTCACTTTGAATAACTAATGCATTGAGATAATAACAATAATAATAATAATAATAATAAACTGATACTTCCTGTTTAACGTCTATCCCACTTTTTTGCTTCTTTTCCATGTTTCTAACTAAAGTATCTGAATGTGTCTTCATGATCTCAAACATCTACAAAAACAAACATTCATCCACTCACTGTTCCACCACTGATCCCCCAACTGACCCACTGATCCACCAACTGACCACTCATCCACTAACTGACCCACTGATCCACCTTCTGACCCACTGATCCACTAACTGACCTGCTGATCCACCAACTTACCCACTGATCCACTAACTGACCCACTGATCCACCAACTGACCCACTGATCGACTAAATGACTCACTGATCCACCAATTGACTACAGATCTACTAACTGACCTACTGATCCAACAACTGACTCACTGATCCACTAACTGACCCACTGTTCCACTAACTGGCCTGCTGATCCACCCACTTACCCAATTATCCACGGACCGACTGATCCACTACCTGACTCACTGATCCACCAACTGACTACTGATCTACTAACTGACCCACTGATCCAACAACTGACTCACTGATCCACTAAGTGACCCACTGATCCACCAACTTACCCACTTATCCACTGACCACCTGATCCACTACCTGACCCACAGATCCACCAATTGACCACTGATCTACTAACTGACCCACTGATCCAACAACTGACCACTGATCCATTAACTGACCAGTAAATTACTTTATTAAAATGTGTTCATCATTTGCAAGTTGATGTTTTTGTTTGTGTTGTTTTACAAAAGCTGGACATAAAACTGAACAGTAATCAACAGAGAGCATTTTGTGATTATTGAATTAGTGATAATTAGTGTAAATTCATAAAAATTTGTGTTAATTTGTGCAAATTGAGGTATATTATTGCTAGTTTATGTAAATGAGTACACATCAGTGTTATTCATGTTATTGTTCATTACTGTAAAATATTATTTCAATCATAAATAATATAGATTAGTGATAATTAGTGTCAATTCATTTATCTTTGGAGTAATTTCTGTAAGTTAGTGCATAATAATGTTTTAAATGTGTGATAATTTGTGTAATTTACCGTTAATTAGTGTTGATGTTAGTGTTAATTAGTGTTAATCCCACCTCCTTCAGTCTTACGCAGGTGAAACGGAGAGAGAATGTTCTGGATTCTCTTCCAGTCCTCGTCTCTGGTCACAAACAGGATGTCATACAGCGGACCATTCAGACCGAAATCCTGACCACATTACAGAATAAAAGCACACAGCGTTAAAGGTCAGGTTTACATAAACAGAACAGGGGTCTGTTGTTGACCCCTGTCTTCAAAACACTCTTATAATGTTGAGTTTTGGTTACTGTGAACTTCAGCACTAACATTTAATATTAAACTATTGCAGTAATGAATTTTACTAATTACATGCTGGTTCTCAAATCTCAAAGCACTGATGTGAATTACATATGCAAATATATTCAAATACATTATACAAAAATAACAGCATATGCAAATGTTGGTCATGTAACTGCAAATATTAGTCATGTAGATTTACAATACTGCTCCTTTCATTTATATCATTTACAGTCAAAACATACAAGTTATTGATTTTTCAGGAGATGTTTCTGAGCAGAGATATGATGATCCACTTGCATAAGGAAGGAGAAAGTTAAAGTGAAAAAACAGGAGATTCCATAACTGGTTAAAAGCAAAATGGGGCTTCTAACAACCACCTGGAAGAGCTGGTAGACCCCAAAACTGCACCCCCATCAGATAAACAGCACTTAAAGCTTTCATCTTTGAGAGAGAGGAGAAAATCAAGCTGCTTCAGATCTGAAAACTTCCACAGGTGTTTCTGTCCATCCTTCCACTGTGACAAGACGACTCAGCACTGTGGGTCTGAAAGGATGTGTAGCTGATCAAGAAGAACCTCACTGAGAAAAGGAGACGGACACATCAAACAAAGAAGCTGAACGATGGACTGACCACCTCAGAGTCCAGACCTCAACACCACTGAATGTGTTTGATTACTTTAGGTAATGATCAACCAGCTTCTAAGACTGAACTTTAGAGGTGTGTCTGCAGATTCTTTGAGGAACTGAAAGTGAGTCTCCTGAACAGAATGGAAGCTGGAATAAAGACTCACTGAAAATAAATGTGTCTTTTCTACTTTTTTTATGATGTTTAAAAAATATATATATAATTTGTATTTAATGACTGTTTTGACAGGAATTTAAATGAATGTAGGGTGGTCTTTGAGTTTTGCACAGTGCTGTTTACAGTTGTCCTTTATGATATTAGATTATTGTTTAACCTCAGTGATCACAGTAAAGTCCTGCTGACGTCTTTACTGATAATAAGGTTGAACGTTTTCATTGATAATAATGTTCTTACCCGTCTGTTGGTGAAGAGCGAATAACATTCTTTAACGAGCACTGATTTCATGATGGTTCTGTCCAGAACACAGAGTAAAGGTGTTCTCCCTTCATATATCCTGAAAGAAACAGTTAATTACAGAAATAAAACTTAAATTTAATGCATTAACTCTTAAAAGTAAAAGTCCTTCAATGAAAAGTTCTTGAAAATAAAGTTCTTGTTTTGGTCTACAGTTCCAGCAAACATTTTTAATTGGTGTAGAACCTTTACACTTTAACTTCTCAATAGGTTCTTCACGCTTACAAACATCTCATTTACAAAAATGGTTCTTCAAAGAACCACATATTCAAATGTTCTTTAGGGAACCAAAAGTGGTCCTGGTTGAATTTATAGAATGTACACAAAAATCTTTCCTCGAGTTCATTGACGACCCCTCGGCTCTGTAGTTAGAGTTTAGCAAATTCTTACAACTCCAATGTGCTACAGTGTAACGTTCTCTGTTATTGTTAATGATTTGGAGAATCATTCTTGTAAATGAGATGTGTGAATGTGTAGACCCTTTTTAAAGTTAAACAATGCCTAAAAATACTTTTTTAGAGGATAAAGCTTCATATCTGAGAGTGCACCTTCAAATGTTTGGTGCTGAAATGACACAAAGATGAAAAATATAATTGTTCTGTGGTGCTTTGAGCTGTACACTGCAAGGCTATGCTAATGTTAATGTAGTTAGCCAGCTACAGGTTCAACCCACTGCAGTACCGGCTCAGCTTTAGTAATTCCTGGTTCTGGTTTAGCAGCACAACAGATGGAAAAAGAAACTGTAACCAGTCTCACAAGCCACACCAGTGCGGAACAGCACAGTACGACCCTGAGAACCATTTGGCTCAGCAGTGGAAAAGAGGCCACTGTAAAGTCACAATTTCCTAATTGACCTTTTTATGCTCTTAACGAAACGCTGAACATATCAAGTTATATAATTCAAAATTACAAGCATCATTTAACTAAATCATTAACAGACTATTATTAATTGTTTGATTTCTAAAGTTCAAAAGAAATATACATTACTCTGTCACAGACTAACGTTTATTAATTCAAATGGTGCTGTTTATTAATGCATATGTAACTGTTTTATAATTATTAAGTCATTAGCCAACTATCCAATAATAATGAGGTTACTGTTTATTAGGAATTGTTATTGTGTTAACCTTTATTATGTAAGGGTTCTCTAAACTTTAAAAAGTGAATTCACACTCACACATCTCCATTACAAAAACACTTCTTTAGAGGACCATAAACTGAAAGGTTCTTTATGGAACCAAAAAAAGGTTCTTTTATGTCTCCAAAGGAGCATAATTGATTCCATATAGCACCTTTATTACAAATAAGTAATGAAGAGTATATACTCACCCCCAAATCTCCCATACTTCATTAAACACTCCAAATCAAACACATGGAAACCCTGAATGTTTTAGAATTAGTTGTATAAAAATAAATATTGATTAATAAGTATGTGAAATAATAACTATCCCACTGAAACAGAGACAAACTTTTATCCTCTATAAACTCACCTTTCTGTACTCTAACATGCTTCCCAGCAGTGGGAGAGGTTTGGGTCCAGGCACTCCTAAATTTCCGAAGAAACTCTTGGGCCAGTATTCATACCTGCACATTTAAAATACAATGCAGAGGACGTCACCTCATTTCTGCATGATAAAATGCTAAACAAAGTCGTTCAGAGCAGTTTGGAGTGAAACGCACTGTTCTAGATCAACTAGAACAGTGGTGATAGGAACTAGTGGTGATAGGAACCAGACGTCCACCTCTAAAAGCTCCCTCACAGAAAGTTACTACATGAAATGGTTATAAATTCACTGCCTGATGTCTGAGACACTGTTTTATGATAGATTTGATAAGACTTTAGCCTAAAAATCCATTCATGGTGAAGTGATACATGCAGGGGCAAAATAGTCCCTAAAGAAAACTTTTTTTCCAGATTTTCCACTGTTTTACTATCATCATTCTTTAATATTGAGCTACGTGTTCATCCATTTAGCGATAAACGAGAATATCATCAAGATGGACGAACACATAGTGGTCTGGGGTCTCTCAAGACCTCATTAATGTAATGCTGAAAGACGGCTGGTGCATTCATTAGTCCAAAGGGCATGACCAAGTACTCATAGTGGCCTGATGGAATGATGAAGGCCATCTTCCACTTATTACTCTGCCAAACCTGGATGTAGTAGGTAGTGAGTGAAAATTGAGGCCTGCTGCTGTTCCTCGAAGGCTGAGGTTATGAGGCTTAGAGGATAATGGACCTTGACTGTGAGCTTGATGAGGGTTGAGTCTGGCACAGACTAGAGTGGCAAGAGGGAAGGGAGACCCAGGAGTAAACTCGAGGGCTGTACCAAATGATTGGCTTAGGGGAAGGACAAATGCCACCAATTGCCCCTAATCACGGCAGAGTGGCTCTGTGCCGCCACCTGGTGGCTGCAATTGGCCTAGCAGGCAGTCCAGCCACAGTCTGGACCCTTACATTGGTTGTTTTGAATAACCATCACCACCACTGTAAAGAAATAGGAGTCTCTAAAATCAACCATTTCACGCCAAGATGTTAAAACAGTGTTTACAACACTGAGACAACCAGATGTGTTGTTGTTTATGTATTTGATAGACAAATAATGATTATAAGGTACTTACAGACGTAAAAGTGTTACGGGATGGCAGGGAGGCAGACCCAAGTGCAGAAATGAAAACCAGTGAAAGAGAGGACTAGATAAATTCATATGGTCAATGGAGTGTGTGTTTGGAATGTTGTGATTGGGGTCTCAGAGCCAGGCTCGAACAGCCACTGTACTGATCAGCGGTCTGCGGACCGCTGCGCCACCGGGACGCACAGATGACAATGGGTACAGCACTACAAGGAAGGGGAAATGAAAAGGCGGGAAATGTCAAACAAAGGAGACGCTGCTCAGCGTGCTCAAACAAAAGCTGAACTAGAAAGGTGAAATAAAAGAAAGAGAAAACTAAATACACCTCCCCTGTAAAAATGAAGGGAAGGTATACTTTGTTTGAGGTGTTTGCTCTTGGTGGAGTAAACACCTTTTCTATTTCTTTCAATTTTTTTTTTTTTGTCAGCAGCTTTGGGTCAGTTTTATTCTTTGTAGCCCTCTTTTCTTCTTTCTTTAGTTTTGGGGCACTTTCCTTTCTCAGCCCTCTTTCCTTTCCTTTTCTTTTCTTTAACGACACTAACTGGTCACCCCTCTACAAAGGTGTGACAAACGCCACTGTTAGCCACAGCCTTAAGTAGAGGAATCCGCTGGTGTGTTGAGTTGGACCTAATCAGCCCGGGGTTATTTTCCATCTGTTAAGTTATGGCCCCTTGCCACCATCGCGCTCTGCTGGCAGCGCAGGCTGGACACCTTGCCGTCGTTGCCCTCTGCTGGCAGCAGGCGGTGCAGGCTGGACCTTCACAAAAAGGCTTATAAACAGCAACTGGAGCACCCATGTTTCAGCAGAGAAGAACCAGAAGTACCCCATGATTGCTGGACTGTCCACAGTGTTGCAGTTTCTCTGGACGGTTCGGTTAAAGTGACTGTAACCTGCAGTGGAGCGTCCTTTAAAAGCTCAACCTACAGGTTAATGATTAGGTGAGTAAACAGACAGTAAACACTTCACCATTACAAAAGTACTTCATGTGATCTCAAGCAGCCTAACTAGTTTTATCATCACACAAATTTTATTTCATTAAGTTAACTTCCTGTTAGAGGATCAATCGATTTTAAAACAGCTGCACCAGAAAGTTCCTCTAACCCCAACCTCATCCAATGAGAGACAAATAATAATTTTATATTATTTATTATACAAGTCTTATCAAATTCTTATTTTACTTTTAAATATGTGTTTTTGAAATATAGTGTCAGTTTATAAAACACATTTTTAAAACTTAATTTTAACCTGTCTTCTTTATTTGTATACTGTTTTGTCTTTTTGGCCCACCACAAACACTGCACTTTGGCCCCTAAGACAAAAAAATTTAAAACAACTAGGTTAATTATATGTTTTAAAGATAAACAAACAATTGGCTTACTATCACCAAATTTAGTTTTTTTCTTTTATTTTTCACATCAAAACAACTGGAAAGTTTAGCATAAACACATTTTGCTATATTTTCACTATAAAATCATTTTAGGTAAAGCTTAGGTGTTTATGGTTTTGTGATTATACACACTTTTCCAAACAATGTCCACCCAGTTATGGGCATTTACAGAACTACCTCAAACATATTTTATAGTATATTTTAGTGTAGTGTTGGCATTTCTACAAAAATATTGGGTCTGTTTCTCATGGATAAATGCTTGTTATTGTTTTATTATAAATATATCGCTATAAATCTTGTATTTCAAAAACTGTAACTTTACTGGAGAAAGAAAAAGCATTCTTAACTTTGAATGGAAGTTAATGGAACTAGATTTTTTTTCTATTGATCCATTCACCATGAAATGTAGCACGCTACAAAGGCCGGCTGGCTTTCTCAAGTTCTGTAAAAAAGAAACTACAAAACAACAAACAGGGACTTCCTCCAGAAACACATGAAGATGTAAATGAAGAGGCAGTGAAATAAAAGTTTGGGTTTAATTTCATTCTGTTGTGCTGGTTGAGCTCCTGTTCTGCTTTACTGTTGATCACTCAGCTCACTTTAGAGCTTTAGCATTTCCCAAGCTGCTCAGCCTTCTGAGTCACGGGGGGAGCTGGAGCTTATCCAAGCAGTCAATGGGCGGAAGGCAGAAAACACCCTGGACAGGTCGCCAGTCCATCACAGGGCAGACAGACAGACATATACATTCACACACACACTCACACCTAGGGGCAGTTTAGCATGTCCAGTTCGCCTGACTGCATGTCTTTGGACTGTGGGAGGAAACCGGGGTACCTGGAGGAAACTCATGCAGACACGGGGAGAACAGGCAAACTCCACACAGAAAGAACCCTGGTCACCTGGCTGGGAATCAAACCCAGCATGGTCATGGTGGTTGACCAGCACAGCAGTATCCAAAACACAACATATACTGATTTTTCTAGCGGGGATGTGGATGATTCTTTAATAATCATTAAATGCAAAATGTTAATGTACTGCATCTTTTTGTGCAAACAGGAAATGATGAAATAATGTTACTATGCCAACGGTGATCACTGACTTTAAATAAACAACAGCACTTTGTTATGCATGCATTAGTTTATTTTTGCTTTTCCTTTGTATTAATTCAACTTTCAATTCAACATTCTTTACATTTTCAAATTTTTTCTGCCCTGAGTAGCTCCTCCATTTTGTCTTCACATCAGCATCGTGTCCGTCAATGACATACTCAAAAATCAAGAGATTGTAAGTATACATTTTTGATAATAATCAATTTTAATACTTGTAAACATATTATACACTCAAAACCTAGCTAGAATCAGCCTTTTGAACAAAATGGGACAAGTAACATGTTATGATTTGGAGTAATTGTTGTTGCAGAAGTCGTCTGATTTGGAGTTAGCTCGAGGGGTGAATCTTAGTTTGATGGGGACTTTAGGAGCCAGGAAAGCATCGTTACCAAACTCCAAGGGAATCTACAAAAATGATTAAGAACAAACAGGATTATAGACATTATAGTTCTGCAAATAACATAAATTCATAAACAGGACTGAGCAAAAGTCTCTTTTGTGGTTGTCAGAATGAGAATTTACAACCCCAGTTCCAAAAAAATTGGGACGCTGTGTAAAATGTAAATAAATGTAAATAAAAACAGAATGCAATGATTTGCCAAGCTCATGGACACATATTGTATTCACAGTAGAACAGAGAACACATATCAGATTTTGAAAGTGAGACATTTTACCATTTCATGAAAAACATTAACACATTTAGAACTTGATGGCAGCAATGCATCTCAAAAACATTGGGAAAGGCGAACAAAAGGCTGGAAAAGTAAGTGGTACTATTAAAAAACAGCTGGAGAAGCAATTTACAACTAACTCACATGACTGCGTATAAAAAGAGCATTTTAGAGAGGCAAAGTCTCTCAGAAGCAAAGATGGGCAGAGGTTCACCAATCTGTGAAAAACTGCATCTAAAAATTGTGGAACAATTTCAGAAAAACGTTTCTCAACGTAAATTGCAAAGACTTTGGATATCCCACCATCTACAGCACATAATATTGTCAAAAGATTCAGAGAATCTGGAGAAATCCCTGTACGCAAGGGACAAGGCTGACGGTCAGTATTGGATGCTCGTGATCTTCGGGCCCTCAGGCGGCACTGCACTGAAAACAGGCATGATTCCGTACTGGAAATCACTGCATGGGCTCAGGAACACTTCCAGAAACCATTGCCTGTGAACACAGTTCGCCGTGCAATCCGCAAATGGAAGTCAAAGCTGTGTCATGCAAAGAAGAAGCCATATGCCAACATGATCCAGAAACGCCGCCGTCTTCTCTGGGCCAAAGCTCATTTAAAAATGGACTGAGGCAAAATTGAAAAGTGTTCTGTGGTCAAATGAATAAAAATTTTGAATATTTTTTGCAAACCATGGACGCCGTGTCCTGCGGACTCAAGAGGAGAGGGACCATCCAGCTTGTTATCAGCTCACAGTTCAAAAGCCTGCATCTCTGATGGTCTGGGGCTACATTACTGTCTATGGCGTGGGCAGCTTACACATCTGGAAAGGCACTATCAATGCTGAACAGTATATAGAGGTTTTAGAACAACATATGCACCAATCCAGACAGCGTCTCTTTAAGGGAAGGCCTTGCCTATTTCAGCAAGACAATAAACCACATGCTACATCCATCACAACAGTATGGCGTCGCAGAGGAAGAGTCCAGGTGCTGAACTGACCAGCCTGCAATCCAGACCTTTCACTAATAGAAAACATTTGCCGCATCATGAAATGAAAAATCCGACAAAGAAGACCCAGAACTGTTGAGCAGCTAGAATCCTACATCAGACAAGAATGGGGCAACATTCCTCTTCCAAAACTCCAGCAACTGGTCTCCTCACTTCCCAGACATTTACAGACTGTTGTTAAAAGAAGAGGGGATGCTACACAATGGTAGACATGGCCCTGTCCCAACTTCTAAGTTCTAAATGAATTAATTTTTTCATGAAATGGTAAAATGTCTCACCTTCAACATCTGATGTGTTCTATGTTCTACTGTGAATAAAATATGTGTCTGTGAGATTTGCAGATCATTGCATTCTGTTTTTATTTACATATATTTACATTTTACACAGCATCCCAACTTTTTTGAAATTGTGGTTGTACTTTTTAAAACACTAACATTTGAACTATTATTAAATATATATATATATATATATATATATATATATATATATATATATATATATATATATATATTCTTCATGTCAGTTTTTTATTGTACAATCAAAGTTTTTAGGGACAAACATCTGATTAACATGCTAAGCAGTAAGTTAAACAGTATTAGCTGTTTTATTGCTATAAATTAATGTCATAGCCTACACTGTTAGCTACCTTAGCATGTCTGAAAAGATTTGTAGCTTTTTAATTTGAAATTAATTACTCCATCTAAATGTAGGTATTGTAATATCAGCTGAGTCTGTTCTACAGTTTCTCATTAGGCTGAATGAATAACCGACTCTAAATGTAGGTATTGTGATATAAACTGAGTCTGTTCTACAGTTTCTCATTAGGCTGAATGAATAACTGACTCTAAATGTAGGTATTGTGATATAAACTGAGTCTGTTCTACAGTTTCTCATTAGGTTGAATGAATAACTGGCTCTAAATGTAGGTATTGTGATATAAACAATGATCTTATCCAATCTCACAACAGTAGGTACAAAAAGCGCATTTGTGGGTGGAGCTTAAATAGCTTGATTAATAGAGTTTAGTAAAGAGATAATCCGCTTTAGATGATCTAACCTTCGTCTCATCACAAATGTTGACATCGAATCTCTGCAGTATCTCTACGATGGCCAGCTTCATGGACACCAGTGCAAACCTCATTCCGATACAGTTCCTGGGTCCTGCACCGAAAGGTATGTACATATAGGGGTCTATACTCTCCTTATTCTCCTTAGTGAACCTATAGGGGAAAAACCAATTGCACTATTTAATTAGCTGTCCAAATTAAACAACTGAAATTAGTAACACAAAAAAATAATGGATTAAAATGTACATTCTCAAATAAGCTTCAGTGAGTCGATTGACATTTTTGACCACTCTACCAGTCCGCTGAGGACTGTTGAGGCTCTAGCCATTATTTACAAGGATGATCTTCTGGGGCATTCCTCAATTCTGTCTAGAGTGACGGATGTGGGTACTGCACTACGTGAGAAGCACAATGTCCCAAGACAGACTTTCCGGACTTGCTATTCTCACCATCGAAAGCCATCATGCTCCTTAAATGGATCTGATAGACATTAAAGGAATTTGCTGAGAAAAATGCGAGGAGGAAGGGACGGTTTGTGCAGTGTTAAAGGGAAGAGTGTTTTCTTGTATTCTTTTTGTTAGCATGTTTGAATTACTACATGCCAGTCATATCAGTGATAGTTTAGTCCACACAGGCCCTCCACCCTGCCTCTTGTGGTGGGGCCCCAGAATTTTGCACTACGCCATTGCAGGGGACAGTGCATTTTCATGTTCTTTTTTTAGAAGGGAATGTACAGTCTGTGCCAAGTCAGCAAGACCTCACAGCGTTGTCCTGCTTGAGGCATTGCTGGATTTATCCTTATTTCCCTGAGGGTGCATTTTATTTGTCATTGCCTGGTCTGTTAGTGTCTCTGAGATTCAATGAACACTTAGGAAGCAAGTTATCTGGATTGTCTATAGAACAAATGTTAGTTTTAAAGCAATAAGTATCAGCTTAGTAATTCACTTGCATGTTGAATGATAAACTGGGAAATCGCAGGTCATTACAAAGATATGACAGCCTGAAGCACTCAAATAATTTTAGTGAGCATCACAGAAAGGGAGGAAACCCACACCAGCAGGATCTCACTAATTACTGTACATTTATAGTTGTTTGATGTTATGAATTGAAGTAAAAGATTTTATGTAATTATTAATTGCAGAACAGCTCAGCAGTAAGCTAAACGCCTAACAGGCTTCTCCAGTAATAATCAGAGTTGGGCTTTACTGAAAGTTTCACTGAAGCAATTTGAGATCTACAGTCTGACAATGAATTCAACTAAACAGTTATTTTCTTTACTTTGTGCATGACTGTCTGTTTAATTAATTCATGACATCCTTAATATGTACATAACATGTATGTAAACAGATGTGTAGTGTCTCCATTTACTCAGGTATATTATTAAGTAAAGTACTTTACTTTTTTAACATTAACGTTTAGTTCTTAATTAAGTTGTGTTGGTTTAGCTCCTGAACTGCTTTACTGTCTATCACTCTGCTGTCATTGGAGCGTTAGCATTTAATGTAATGTAGTGAAAATAATCTAATGAGAGAAAAATAGGGCTGTACAAATTTCAGTGACTATGCTTAGAGATGCTGAATGCTAAGATGTTCCTCTGCAGTTCTAGAAAGATACTTCATTTTTACTGCAGTCATTATTTCACTGTACCTCTCAGGGTTGAAGGTATCTGGGTCAGGCCAGTATTCAGGGTCTCTGTGGAGGGGATATATGGGAATCATGACAGTGGTTCCCTCAGGGATAGTCACACCATTAATCTCCACGGTTTTCTTGGCGATTCTGTCAGTCCGTGCTGCCACAGGGTACAACCTCAGTGTTTCATTCAGTGCAGCATCCAGATATTCCATACTCATCACTGCATCGTACTGAACTGGAGCCTAAAGACAAAAATAAGACACAGTCAATGCTAGCAAGGTTGTTTAAATGCAATTGGCAAGGACACTATATTACCAAAAGTATGTGGACACTTGACTATTACACTTATTATGAGCCTTTTGCAAAACCCATTCCAAAACCATGGACGTTAACATGGAGTTGCCACCCTTTGCAACTTTAACAGCCTCCACTCTTTTGGGAAGCTTTCTACAAGATTTTGGATTGTGTGGGAATTTGTTTAAAGACAACATAACAACACACATAACAACAAATACTATTTCATATACAAGTTTTCAGTTGATGATTTCAGCGGTGCTGATCTCTGGTCCCAGAAACACAGTTGTGTAGGTCTGGTGAAATACGACAGTCACCTTATCGGGGAAGGTCTGGTCGATCTCTTCTTGAAGTTTCTTCATCGTTTCTGGGTTGGTGGCCATGTTGTAGAAGAAGAAGGACAGTGTGCTGCTACTCGTCTCATAACCAGCAAAAATGAAGGAGATGGACTGAGATAAAATCTCATGATCACTCAGACCTTCAGAGGTAAAACATACACATTTTTTTACGTATCTAAAACCAGTAACATAACAGTCACTCTGTAAATCTGCCTCAAATAACCAGATTTCAGGAAACGTTCCTGATTAACCATTTCAGATTTGCTTAATATTTTCAGGAAATAATGCCATTGTGCTTAATATATACTGTGGAAAATTCTAAGCTTGTATGTATATTAGTTTCTAAGGTATGGAAACTTTAACAAGTGGGCCTAAACATCACTTAAATAGAACCTGTCTGGTAATGTGAAGCAGCTAGGTGGCCTCAAAAAACAGCACACAATACCACATTCTAAAGAGATTCAAATACCTTCCCAGGAGTGGCCGGCCTACCAAAATTTTAAGAATGCATCGACGGCTCATCCAGGAGATCAAAAAAGAACCCAGATGAACATCTAAAGAATTGCAGGCCTCCCTTGCCTCAGTTAAGGTCAATGTACATGATAAATGAAATAAATGAAATAAAAATGGCATTGATGGGAGAGCTGCAAGGCGCAAACCACTGCTGACCAAAATGAACACAAAGGCTTGTCTTGCATTTGCCAAAAAACATCTAGATGACTCCCAAAACTTTTAGGATAATATTCTGTGCACTGAGGAGTCAAAGGTGAAACTTTTTGGAAGACATGGGTCCCATTTCATCTGACATAAATCTAACGCCGCATTCTGCCATAAGAACATCATAGTTTTACAGAGATCGAGTCAAAATCCTGACTTGAATCCCATTGAGGTGCTGTGGCAAGGCGTTAAACTGACATTTCTTGCTCAAAAACTGTCCAATGTAGCTGAATTAAAACAATTCTGTAAAGAAGAGTGGGCTAAAATTCCTCCACTGTGATATAAAAGACTCATCGGAAGTTATAGCAAACGTTTGATTGCACTTGTTACTGCTGAGGACGGCACAACCTGCTATTAAGTTTTGGGGGGCAGTTACTTTTTCACATGCATGATATAGGTTTTGAATAAATCTTTATCTTCAATAAATGGAATGAGCACTTAAAAGCTGCATTTTGTGGTTATTTGTGGTTCCTTTATTGTATATTAAAACTTGTTGGATGATCTGAAACATTTAAATGTGAAGATAAGGAGGCCAAATTCGTTTCAATGCAAAAAAAAAAGCAAAACCCCAAAACAATTGTGAATATTTAGCAAGCCATAAGATGGCATCTCTGGAAATTTCCTGGTCTCTGGAGATGCATAAATAAAAAAAAATCCTGAAAAAGGAATTGCACTTTTTTTCCATAGCACTTTCCCTCTATATCTCAGAAAATAATGAAAACACAAGTCTTAAATTTAGCACATTTTGAATGTGGACATTATTTCCTGATAATATTAATACCTGAGCTGGTCAGTGAGGAGGCATTCTAAACTGATAAAGCATTACCTTTTTTTATCTCCTCTCCTTGTTGGTCTGCTGCTTTCTCTGGTGTTTGAGAATCCACCATTAGCTGCATAAAGTCCACTCTGCTCTACAGGGAGTGGGGGACACATAAAAAAATCGGTCATTCTCCCACAGATCCTGGAACTGCTACATGAAAAGTTAGAAAGTGACTACAAGATACTGAAGATAACCTGAATCTTAACTGTATCTTTGTAACATATATAAATGTTATAAAACTGTACATATTTATTTAGGAAAATGAGTATTATTGTTAAAAGAGAAAAAATCTAAGTTAAACAATTAATATGTGTGAAGGCAACTTATTTCATACAATAACATCGACATCTTTGCCAACTTGAAGTCTTGAATGTACCTTGTGGTCTTTGGCCACTCGGTCAGCCTTAATCTTCTGCAGGGCGGCACAGAAGAAATCAGTCGCAGATGTAGGGAAGAAAGCAACATTCATTTTCTCCATCAGGGGGATGGTGAAGGGGAACAACACTAGAGAAGCCATGAAGGGGAAAACACTTATTTTGGCTTAAGATATTTGGTAAACATACTATAAATAATAAATATATAATGAAGATTATAGTGAATTGAGTGTTGTAATTGCACAAAATATCATACTGAATTACCCGACGTGATTTATTACAGTTCACTGCAGAAACTTCTGGTTAAGTATCAACTATTTTGTAAACAGCTGAATGTAAGTATGAGTAAATGTAAAGCTGAACTACCTGTAATGAGGAAAATTGGCTTTAAGAAATCAAAATCCAGCAACTTCTTCACGTTGGTCACAAACGGATCTTTGGGGTTGTTAAGAGAATCAATGTCAACGCTGAACGCTGAGCTGGTTATCACATCCATACTGTATGCTCCAAACAACCTGCACATACACAACACAGCATAGAATAACAACATAACAGAGAATATATAACATAACACCATTATACAATAACAATATTGTACCAACAAAACACCATAACACAGCATATAATAACAAACCAATAGCAACACTGTAACATAACAACACAACACAGCAACGATATGGCAGTGAGAAACTATGAACTAATAGAGAATGTGCTGCTTTGCTTCTACTGTATTTGCAGATTCAAGTTCCTGACAAAGCTGTGTTACGGGTTTGAACTCCAAGTTGTCTACGCTTCTTATGAGAATTGCCTATGTTACAGTGGTGTCAGAAGTGGCTCAAGAAACTGGCAGCAGGGGGAGGCAAGGCCAATGGAGGACAAGAAGAAGCTGCAAAGACTCAGGTCCGGAGGCCTTGGGGAAGAGTGAGCTCTCCTGAAGATGCCAAAAAAACATCAGCAAGCTGCTGTGAAGAGGGGGTGACCAGGGGATGGTTCATTCCCTGGCCCTGGAGAAGAGTAACCTCCTGAAAGCTTGTGTCATGCTGGGTGGAGGGGTGTGGCACCCTCCGCATGCAGGTTAGCTGAAAAACTAGCTGACCTGCAGCGGTCAATATAGCAATGAATCGTTGAACTTATGTCCTCCACGGCATCCAAGCCCAATACCACTACCAGCACTTGTGACTCTGCAAACATAGCAGCCAGATCCAGCCCTACAATATCAACGTATATTCCTAAGATAAGGTGTTATGGTACGTGGAGGTGGTTGTGGCAGGGTGGTGGGACCAAATGAAGGCGGCTCAGTTAGCCTCTGCCATGGAAAGGGGCAGCCCTGCAGGTACCTTTAGAGCTACCTGCCTATGTTACATTAACTTGGTACCACCTTACGTCCAGCCTGGGGAGGTGGTTTGATGAGCAAGTGTTTGCCATGCACATTAGAGAAAAACTCCATTGGTTGTGGCTTGTAAAGCCAACTTGCCTGGGGGAGAGGCTTTAAAGTGAGCAGAATCAATGAAGGCGATTTTGGGAGAATATGCAGGCTGAAGCCAGGTTTGTTTGGACGTGGGGGTGGACTCCAATGCCAGCGAGTGTGAGGGAGAAGAGACAGAAGGGTCAGAGCTTGTCCTTGGTGTGGAGACACTGTGGCTTGTAACCCCATGCTGGTGGAGGAGACAATACGTTTGGCAGCAGAGCGAGTGGATTGTTGGCGGTGCAGAAAGAGGGAACACTGTGCCATTCAATGCTATGAAACATTTGAAAGCCAGCCAGAAAGATTGATGGCTGCTGCAGACTTTGGGTTGATTCCAGTTCAGTGTTTTAGACTATGTGCAGCTCGCTGCCTTCATTGATGGTGACTTGTCGGTGTTGCCGCTACATTCAGGTGTTCTCCCTTACACTGAGTGGCACAGCTGCCAACTGGGAAGCAATGAGCTTCCAACTCAAATCTGTCACTGGCTTCCAAGTCAACATGAGAGGAGGAGTTAAACGCATATCGTTAGAGCTGGTTGGTGGACCCCTAGGGGCAGGGTGTGCTGTCAAGTCAAGGAAGCCATGGCTTTTCACTTGTGAAGCCACCAATGCTGGAGGAGCTAAACATACAGCACTAGTTCCAGAGGATGGATCCCCAAAGGCTGTGAGCAGTGCACACAAACAGCACCCTTTCCAGTATTGAAGATGCAGTCCTCCAGGCTTGCTGGCATCACCAGAGCACCACCAATGCCCCTCAGCAGCTTTAGAATCCCTCAGGAGGACTGCAGATTGAGGAAGCAATGAGCCCTGAGTCATTTCAAAGACTTGGTCTGGTGGGACTGGTAAGCAGGGCTCGCTGCTCTTGGACAAAGTGGGAGGGCAATGTGGCATCAGAACATGCCTGTGTTCCATTTAGTTAAAAAAAGACAGTAGGTGGTGCTTTCAGCATTTGTTTTTATGTTGTTTTATGATGTCTCAGATGATGTTGTTAGTTTTAAGACTGGATTTAGTCTCTTTAGACTTTTATTCTGAAGGGCAGGGCTGTGTGTGTGAAGAGGGCAACAGGAGTTAGCTTCAGTGAGTAGGAACCGTGAGCTAATGGTTAGAGAGCATGCTTTTTTGCTTGTGCTCTGTTTGCTGATTCGAGTTTTTAATAAAGCTGCATTATGGGTTCAAACTCTGAGTTGTCAATGATACTTGTGAGAATCCCCTATGTGACAATACCAACAACATAACATCGTATTTTAACAACATAAACTACCAACAACATGATATCATGATTGAATATAACACAACAACAGCATAATATATTAAAAACATAACAACATAACATACCAGTAACATAACATCATAACATAAAAACATAACATGCCAACAACATAACACCACCATAACAGCATAACACTTTAACATAACATACTAACAACATGACAACATTACACAACACCACAACACAGCGTATCGTTGCTGTCCAATGAAAACCATGTATCTCCATTTTTTTGTGATTTTTACTTTTTTGCATCGTTTAAGCTCAACAGATATCTGTTACATTGTGTGAAAATGTCATGACGATTGGACCAATAAAAATGCCCCCAAATTTTTAGAATAAAATCTCTTTTCATTGACTTACATTGAAAGTGAAGAGTGTTTTTGCCTTCTCCTGTAAAGTTACTATTTGGAGATACTTGTTTTTCATAGGACAGCAACGATATATAACAACATAACATCATAACATAAAAATTGAGTTTGGTGTTCAGCAAATTGAGTTCTGTACGCTACTGTTGGCTGAATGAAAAGGGCTACCACCTTTTAAATATCCTTCAACTTTCAGAACTAGTGCATTAAGATAATAATAATAATAATAATAATAATAATAATAAGCTGATACTTACTCTTTAACATGTACTCCACTCTTTTGCTTCGTTTTCTTCTCCAGGTTTCTAACTAAAGTGTCTGAATGTGTCTTCATGATCCCAAACATCTACAAAAATACAACAATCGTTCATCCACTCATTGATACACCAAATGACCTATTGATCCACCAACTGACTTACTGATCCACAAACTGACCCACAGATCCACTATCTAACCACTGATACACCAACTCTACCACTGATCCACCAACTGACTTACTGATACATTAATTATACACTCATACACTAACAAACACACAGATCCACCAACTGACCGCTGATAAAATATCTGACCAACTGACCCACTAACTGACTCTCTGATACACTAATTACCCACTGATACACTCACTAACCCATTGATCCACAAACTGATCACTGATACACTAACTGACCAACTTGTCCACTAACTGACCCACTGATCCACCAAGTGATCCACAAACTGATCCACCAACTGACTTACTCATCCACTAACTTACCCACTGATCCACCAACTGACCACTGATACAATAACTGACCAACTGATCCACTAACTGACTCACTGATACACTAATTACCCACTGATACACTAACTAACCCATTGATCCACCAACTGACCCACTGATACACCAACTGACCCACTGATCCACGAACAGACCCACTGACCCACAAGCTGATTGACTGATCCAACAACTGACCCACTGACCCACAAGCTGACTGACTGATGCACAAATTGACCCACTGATCCACCACCTGACTTACTGATCCACTAACCTATCCACTGATTCACTAACTGACCCACTGATACACACATGGTCCCACAGATCCAACTTAACCATGATTCGCCAACTGACTCAATGATCCAACAACTGACCCACTGATCCACCAACTGATCCACAAACTGACCCACTGATGCACCAACTGACTTACTGATCCACTAACTGACCCATTGATCCACAAACTGACCCACTGATCTACCAACTGACCCAGAGCTCCACTAACTGACCACTGATCCACCAACTGACCTACTGATCTACCAACTGACCCAGAGCTCCACTAACTGACTCTGTGCCACTGTGGACACTATGCCATTCAATGCTATGAAACATTTGAAAGCCAGCCAGAAAGATTGATCCACCAACTGACCTACTGATCAAATCAAATCAAATCAAATTTATTTGTATAGCGCTTTTTACAACTGATGTTGTCACAAAGCAGCTTCACAGAAATCCGTTTAGAACAAAGTTTCAACATGAAATGTAAATCCTCCAGGTGAGCAAGCCAGGGGCGACAGTGGCAAGGAAAAACTCCCTCAGTTGAGGAAGAAACCTTGGGAGGAACCAAGGCTCATATGTGGGGACCCATCCTCCTCTGGTCAAACTACGTACAAAATTATTATTCTACTAATATTAATAGTAATAGTAGTAATAGTTAGGAGACTTCAGTGTAGAGTGGGCAGCCAGTCCAAGGCAGGTGGCGGTGACTGGGTTGTGGGTAACTGGTCTGAAGCGGGTAGCCGGAGAGCTCTACAAACAATCATCCAGCAGTGTCCGGCCGGACAGGTGAGCAGTCGTTTTCTCGGAAGAAAGGTAGGGAAATGGAGTTAGTTTATTTCTGTATGGGTGTATGTATAGTAGTATGTAAAACATTTCCAGAGTGTGGCTAACGACTCTGGCAGATCTGACTATAACAGCTTAACTAAAAGGAGAGAACCAAAAGGGCACACAGACACGGGAGCACCCTGAAACAATCTGGCATTCCTCCGCTCCACCGTCCACAAACCTGAGTGATCGCGTGTGAGTGGCGGGACGACAGCACCAGTCTCAGTTTACTATAATTCCCTGCGTCCATGGACCCCTGGATCTGCTGCCTTTATCCAAGGGGAAACATTAGCTACCAAAAGCTAAACTAAACAAATGAGTTTTCAGCCTAGATTTGAATATTGCGACTGAGTCTGAGTCCCGAACATTTTCTGGAAGATCATTCCAGAGCTTGGGGGCTTTATAAGAAAAGGCTCTTCCCCCAGATGAAACCTTCTGAATTCTGGGAACTATTAAAAAGCCAGCACTCTGTGATCTGAGTAATCGTGGTGGCTTGTAAAGGGAAATAAGGTCTTGCAGGTACTCAGGAGCGAGCCCACGTAGGGCTTTATACGTCAATAAAAGAATTTTGTAATCTATACGGAATTTAACAGGCAGCCAATGGAGTGATGATAGAACTGGGCTGATATGATCATATTTTCTAGTTTTAGTGAGAACCCTGGCTGCAGCATTTTGAACTAGTTGAAGTTTACTTAAATTCCTGCTGGTGCATCCTGACAGTAATGCGTTACAGTAATCTAGCCTTGAGGTAATAAAGGCATGTACTAATGTTTCTGCATCGTGCAGCGATAAGGCATTTCTTATTCTGGCGATATTGCGAAGATGTACAAAAGCTGTCTTAGTGATGCTGCCTATGTGTTGATCAAATGATAAATCTGGATCGAGTATTACACCAAGATTTTTTGCTGCTGAACCTGGTATAACTGGAAAGTCAGCGAGATTTAAAGTTAAATCTGATAATTTATTTCTTGCCACTTTTGGACCCAGAAGGAGAACCTCTGTTTTGTTACTGTTTAGGAGGAGGAAGTTACGCGACATCCAACCCTTCACATCTTTTACACAGTCCTCTATTTTCTTTAACCTGTATTTGTCATCAGGCTTGGCTGATATGTACAGTTGCGTATCGTCTGCGTAACAGTGAAAGTTAATGCCATGGCTACTTATAACTGTGCATAACGGTAACATGTATAATGTAAATAATAATGGTCCTAAAATAGAGCCTTGCGGAATTCCAGATCTTACTTGTGAATAATTGGAAGATAAGTCATTTACCTGTACGAACTGATAACGTTCTGTTAAGTAAGATTTGAACCACGATAGGGCGGTCCCTGTGATTCCAACCATGTTTTCTAACCTTTCGAGGAGAATATTGTGGTCTATCGTATCGAAAGCTGCGCTGAGGTCAAGTAGCACTAACAGGGATATGTAGCCTTGATCAGAGGCAAGAAGAAGATCATTTGTTATCTTAACTAGAGCTGTCTCAGTGCTGTGATGTGGCCTGAATCCAGATTGGAATTTCTCAAATATGTAGTTCTTATGTAGATATGAACTAAGTTGTTGGGCTACGGCTTTTTCTAAGATCTTAGATATAAATGGCAGGTTAGATATAGGCCTGTAATTAGACAATACCAACTGACCCACTGCTCCACTAACTGACTCATTGTCCCACTAACTGATCCACCACCTGCCCCACTTATAAACTAACTGACCCATTGATCCACCAATAGACCCACTGATCCACTAACTGACCCACTGATCCACTAACTGACCCACTGATCCACCAACTGATCGACTGATCCACACTGACCCACTGATCCACTAACTGACCCATGGATCCACCATCTGATCCACTAATCCACAATCAGTCCCACTGATCAACCAACTGACTGACTGATCCACTAACTGACCGACTGAACCACAAACTGACTCACTGATCCACCAACTGATCTACACATCCACAAACTGACCCACTGATCCACAAACAGACCGACTGATCCACTAACTGATGGACTGCACCACTATCTGACCCGATGATCCACTAACTGACCGACTGAACCACAAACTGGCCAGTTAATCACTTTAATAAAATGTATTCTTCAGTTGCAGGTTGATGTTTTTCTTTGTGTTGATTTGTGAATGCTGGACTCACATAAAACTGAACAGTAATCAACAGACAGCATTTGGTAATTCGTTCAAATTATGTTCATTTATGCAAATTAATGTACATTATTGCTAGTTCATTTAATAGAGTGCATAATAGTGTTAACATATGTTAGTGTTTATTATCATGAAATATTATCATTTTATTTTTAAAGAATGTAAATTAGTGTTAATTGGTGTCTATTCATTCACCTTTATAATAATTTATATAAATTAGTGCACAATAGTGTTTTAAATTTATGTTAACTCATGTAAATTACTGCTAATTAATGTTAGTGTTAGTTAGTGTTAATTAGTGTTGATGTTAGTGTTAATTAGTGTTAATCCCACCTCCTTCAGTCTTCCGCTGGTGAAACAGGGAGAGAGAATGTTCCGGATTCTCTTCCAGTCCTCGTCTATGGCCACAAACAGGATGTCATACAGCGGACCATTCAGACCGAAATCCTGACCACATTACAGAATAAAGGCACACAGCATTAAAGGTCAGGTTTACATAAACAGAACGGGGGTCTGTTGTTGACCCCCATCTTCAAAACTCTCTTATAATGTTGAGTTTTGGTTACTGTGAACTTCAGCACTAACATTTAATATTAAACTATTGCAGTAATGAATTTTACTTATTATATGATGGTTCTCAAATCTTAAAGAGCTGAAGTGAGTTACATATGCAAATATATTCAAATATATTAAATAAAATATGCAAATATTAGTCATGTAACTGCAAACATTGGTTATGTAGATCTACAGTACTGCTCAAAAGAGACCCTTCATTTATATCATTTACAGTCAAAACAGCCATTAACTACAACTCCTTAAATTTTCAGGAGATGTTGGTGAGGAGATTAGATATAAGATCATCCATCTGCATAAGGAGGGAGAACATCAAAATAAAAGAACAGGAGTTTCTAAAACTGGAGTTTAAAAACTGGTTAAAAGCTACAGAGAAAATGGGGCTCCTAACAACCACCTGGAAGACCTGGTAGACCCCAAAACTGCACTCCCACCAGATAAACAGCACTTAAAGCTTTCATCTTTGAGAGAGAGGAGAAAATCAAGCTGCTTCAGATCTGAAAACATCCACAGGTGTTTCTGTCCATCCTTCCACTGTGAGAAGACGACTCAGCGCTGTGGGTCTGAAAGGATGTGTAGCTGATCAAGAAGAACCTCACTGAGAAAAGGAGACGGACACATCAAACAAAGAAGCTGAACGATGGACTGACCACCCCAGAGTCCAGATCTCAACACCACTGAATGTGTTTGATTACTTCAGAAAATGATCAACCAGCTTCTAAGACTGAACTTTGGAGGTGTGTCTGCAGAATCTTTGAGGAGCTGAAAGTGAGTCTCCTGAGAAGAATGGAAGCTGGAATAAAGGTAGAGAGTGACTCACTGAACATAAATGTGTCTTTTCTGCTTTTTTCATGATGCTTAAAAATGAATCATTTGTATTTAATGACTGCTTTGACAGAAATTTAAATGAATGAAGGGTGGGCTCTGACTTTTGCACAGTGCAGTTTACAGTTGTCTTTTACTTTTATGATATTAGATTATTGTTTAAGCTCACAGTAATCAAAGTAAAGTCCTGCTGACATCACTACTGATAACAAGGTTAAACGTTTTCACTGATAATAATGTTCCTACCCGTCTGTTGGTGAAGAGCGAGTAACATTCTTTAACAAGCACTGATTTAATGATGGTTCTGTCCATAACGCAAAGTACAGGCATTCTCCCGTCATATATCCTGAAAGAAAAAGACATATTACAGAAATAAAACTAAATACTTTCACTCTTAAAGGTCCTTAAATAAAGTTTTTGTCTTAGACTACAATTCAAGGAAAATCTTTAGTTGGCGCAGAATCTTTACAGTTGAACTTTTCAGTAGATTCTTCACACTTACATACATCTCATTTACAAAAATGGTTCTTTAAAGAGCCACCATTAATGTTATTTAGGGAACCAAAAGTGGTTCTAGCTGAATTTATAGAATGTACACAAAAAAGTTTCACCAAGTTCATTTATGACCCCTCGATTGTCTACTTTAGCAAATCCTTACAACCCCAATGTGCTAGAATGTAATGTTCTCTGTGTTCTAAGTTGTGTTGTGTACCTTGTACAGTATGGACATCGATTCTCTAAACCGCTCCCAAAACTAACTAAATGACGGTCCCAAAAATGATTCTTGCTTGATACCACAGTGGAACCATTTTGGTTCCCTACAGAAGCTTCCAATGGATGGTTCTTTGGAGAATCATTCTTTTTAATGAGATGTCTGAATGTGAAGACCTTTTTTAAAATTTGAAGAACCTCAACTTAAAGCACAGGTTCTAAGATTTAAATTGGTATGTTATGAGGACCTTAACAAGGTTATTCACATTCACAAATTGCATCTTCAATCATGGTTTGTTAGGGAACCAAAAGTGGTTCTTCAGTGGCATCTTCAAAGGAACCTTATTGGGAACTTTATCGAAGTGTTTTAAATGTACTTAATATTCCTGTGGATTTACTTAATTTCTTACACTCTACACTCTGAAGGCCTCAGCAGACTTCTTGCGGGGACGACATTCGCCTGGCTTCAGTGAACAATGTGACATAATTGCGGAGAAAACAAACAACCACAGACATCGCACGGAGGCTTTGTTCCCCGTGTCACGCACATGGCAGCTGGGCTAACTGCTTGGACAAAGACGCCACGCGACAGAGCCTGTGATTGGTCACTAAAAAACAGGCATGCCATTAAACAAAGATGGATGACTTTGAAGACATTCGGCTTTGGCAGATACGCTAATATTTGACTGTGAAACGCGCATTTGTGAAATAAACAATGAATATCTCCTAAATGTAAGATGTTAAGTCTGTTATTCGGTAGTACTGACTAGCACCGAGCACCAAAACATACAGGTTATCTTATATTAAGGTTCATAAGAGGACGAGGCTGAAGTTGGCTTCCTATTCGCCAACTTCTTGTTCGAATTCTCCCGTTCCACATTAAATGGTGGCGGTATTCAGTAACTCAAACGTCGCCATAGTTAGTGTGATAGAATCCGTGACAGGCAATACGAAACCGCACAAAGTATGCGAGGCTGTAAGCTTGCGAAGGCTTTTCCGGCTTTGCACAACCCTTGAGAATTACGGAAGCCACATTGAGTTGCTGGTGTTGGGAGGACAGAAAGACGAAATGAAACCTGTTTATTCACACTCACACATTTCCTTTACAAAAAGCATTTCTTTACAGAGCCACTAATTGAAAGGTTCTTTATGGAACCAAAGGAACTCTTTTATATCTCTGAAGGAGCATGTTTGATTCCATCTAACACCTTTATTATATACAAGATGGTAAAAACTGCAATGAAGAGTATGTACTCACCCCCAAATCCTCCCATACTTCATAAAGCACTCCATGTCAAGTGCATGGAAACCCTGAAAATATCAGAATTACAAAAATATTGATTAAAAATTATGTGAAATAATAATTATTCCACTGTAATAGAGACAAACCTTTGTCCTGTTTAAACTCACCTTTCTGTACTCTAACATGTTTCCCAGCAATGGGAGAGGTTTGGGTCCAGGAATTCCTAATTTTCTGAAGAAACTGTTGGGCCAGTATCCATACCTGCACATTTACAATACAGTACAGAGGATGTCCATCAATTTCCCCAATTTCCTGCATAATTAAATGCTAGATGACGTTGTTTAGAGTGGTTTGGTGTAAAATGCTCCATTCTAGAGAAACTTACTGAGTCAGAATTAATGTCTGAGACATTATTTTATGACTTTTTCTTAAAAATCCATTTATGGTGGAGGGATACATGCAGGGAGCTGTGAGGCAAAGTAGTCCCCAAAGAAAACATATTATTTCAGATTTTCCAGTATTTACATTCATCAACATTACATGTTGATAAGCTACATGTTCATCTATTGAGCAGCTATAAATGAGGATGTCATCACAATCAACGAACATGAAGTGGTCCAGGGCTTTTCTCAAGATCTTGTTGACGTAACACCAGAAGATAGCTGGTACATTTATCAGTCCAAAGGGCATGACCAAGTACTCATGGTGGCCTGTGGAGTGATGAAGGCTGTGTTCCACTCATCACTCTGCCGAAACTGGATGAGGTTGTAGGTGCTGCGCAGGTCCAGCTTTGTGTTGCAGTTCCTCGAAGGCTGAGGTCATGAGGGATAAGAGGAGATAACAGTCCTTGACTGTGATCTTGTTGAGGCCCTGGTAGTCAATGCAGGTACAAAGTCCTTCCTCCCAACAAACAAGAACCTTGCACCTGCCGAAGAGGTGGAGGGCCTAATGAAGCCCATGGCCAAAGCCTCATGGCTTTACCACTATGCCATCCTTCTGCACTTTATATGTAAATAATACTGTATTTCGCGCTTCTGGTTAGATGCTAACTGCATTTCATTGGCTCTGTACCTGTAGTTTGCATGATGACAATAAAGTTGAATCTAATCTAATCTAATCTAACATGGTAGCTCACCCAGAGGTGGATTCAAACCTGAAACATGCCAGAGAAACCCTGAGAAAAACATGCAAAGGGTTGGGTCTGGTACAGACTAGAGAGGCAAGAGGGAAGGAAGACCCAGGAGTAACCTCGAGGGCTGTACCAAATTATTGGCTTAAGGGTGGGACAAATCACTAATCACAGCAGAGTGGCTCTGTGCCTCCCTCTGGTGGCTGCAATTCGCCTAGCAGGCAGCCCAGCCCCAGTCTGGGCCCTTTCACTTTCATGCCAAACCATAACATAAATAATAACATCTAAGGCTGCATGCAAATATACAGTATTTGGCTGTGAAAAGACACAGCAGTCTTTTAAATAGGTTTCACAGTAGATAAAATAAGCATCAATATTATTTTTATGGTAGAAAAAGTACTATGCATGACAAAAAAACAGACAACTGAACGTGCAAAAGTTTGGGCACCCCTGCCAAGTGACAGTAAGTTAATGCAATCTCTAAAGAGACCACACTTCTTTACATTTTAATACACAGTTACTGGAAATAAAAATGTGGCTTGTGCAAAAGTTATGGCACCTCTTCAATTTTTTTCCAATGTGTTAAAACAGTGTTTACAATACTGAGATAACCAGATGTTTTGTTGTTTATGTATTTGATAGACAAATAATGATTATAAGGTACTTACAGAAGCAAAAGGCTTATAAACAGCAGCAGGAGCGCCCACGTTTCAGCAGAGAAGAACCAGAAGTACCCCATGATTCCTGTTGTCTGTAATCCAGTGTCACAGTTTCTCTGGATGGTTCTGTTAAAGTGACTGTAAACTGCAGTGGAGCGTCCTTTAAAAGCTCAGCCTACAGGTTAATGATTAGGTGAGTAAACAGACAGTAAATATCAGATCTGCACACATACGCACATTTACTCAGACACATGCTGATACGCACTGTAAACATATTTGATCAAATTCTTATGCTCATTTTAAATTCATGTTTTTGAAATATAGTGCCAGTTTATAAAACATTTTTAAAACTTAATTTAAAACCTACCAGTCTTCTTCTTCTTTATTTATTTGTTTTGTCTTTTTGGTCCTCGGCCCACCACAAACACTGCACTTTGGCCTCCAAAGACAAAATAAAAACTAGGTTCAATTACATTTTTTAAAGATAAACAAACAATTGGCTTACTATCAACAAATTTAGTTTTGTCTCTTATTTTTCACATCACAACAACTGGAAAGTTTGTGTCAAATTTTTAAACGATTTACCATAAACACATTTTATAATAGTTTCACTATAAAATCATTTTAAGTCGAGCTTAGGTGTTTATGTACACTTTTGTCCACTTTTGTCCACCTGTCCACCTGTTATGGACATTTACAGAACTACTTCAAAAACATTTAAGTATATTATAGTGTAAAACTGACAGTTCTACAAAAATACTGGGTCTATTTCTCATACATACATGCTTGTTATTGTTATGATAATGAAGTTATATAAGTGGCTTTATGGGAGGCAGGAATGTCTCTGTAAACTTTGTCCTTAATGTCATTCTGTTGTGCTGGTTCAGCTCCTGTTCTGCTTTACTGTAGATCACTCAGCTCAACAGTAGAGATTTAGCAATTTATTTTACACCAAAAGCAGCTAAAAAAAGATCTAACAAGTCTAACAAGACAGCAGTTAAACATTTGGTGCAGTTGTTCATTGAAATGTGATCTTCCAAATGTTGTACGTTATATTTTTGTAGATTTGGCAGACATGAGTAACTTGCATTTAAAAAGGCCTGTTGTGATTGTTCTTATTTGTAACAGCTCATAGATTAGAAGCCTTGCTACAGAGGGACAAAGTTATTACGAAAGTTAGTACATATTTGATAAACATTCAGAAGTCCATAAAATGGCTAACTAGCAGCTCCTGTTTTCTGTTCTGGTTGTTAAACATATTTAAAACTAACAAGAATAATACCTTCAAATTTTACACAAATGACATCAATGGTTCAGAAGTTATGATTTATATAAATGTATACCTTTTTTCAAAGCACTCTTTTTGAGGTAAAATTAAGCCTCAATATCTCTGAAACTATTGAAGATGTACACATAAATCTATTGAGTTATTGATCAAATCTGAGGTGGTCAGCTGGGAGGTTTCTGTAATTTCATATAATTTCATCTAGGCTTGATTTCCTTTATTGTTCATTTTTATTGGTGGATTCAGAAATCTTTATTACATTCAGACAAACACCTAATTGCAAAGAATTGGGACACACCTCTTAATCATTAAATTCAGGTGTTTCATTCAGTCTCATTGCCACAGGTGTATAAAATCAAGCACCCTGCCATGCAGCCTGCCTTTACACACATTAGTGAAAGAATGGGTCGTTCTAAAGAGCTCACTGAATTCAAGTGTGTTGCTGTAATGGAAGGCCAGTGTTGCAACAAGTCAGTTAGTAAAATTTCTTCCCTCCTAGATTTTCCACCATCAACCACAGCAGCTCAGCCACAAAGTGTCAGACCACATAAAGTTACAGAGCGGGTCGCCGAGTTCTGAGGAGCACAGAGCATAAAAGACTCCAATGCTCTGCTGATCAATAACTGCAGAGTTCAATCCTCCTCTGGCATCAACATCAGCACAAACACTACATTGGGAGCTTCGTGGCAGGGTTTCCATGGCCGAGCAGCTGCATACAAGCCTTACATCACCAAGCACAATGCCAAGCGTCAGATGGAGTGGAGTAAAGCGCCGCCACTGGACTCTGGAGGAGTGGAAACGTATTCTGTGGAGTGATGAATCAGCTTCTCTATCAGTCAGTCTGATGGACGAGTCTGGGTTTGGTGAATGCCAGGAGAACGTTACCTGCCTGACCTGCACTGTGCCAGCTGTAAAGTTTGGTGGAGGAGGGATGATGCTATGGGACTGTTTTTCAGGGGTTGGTCTAGAACCCTCAGTTCCAGTGAAGGAAATCTTAATGCTTCAGCACCAAGACATTTTGGACATTTCTTTGCTTCCAATTTTGTGGGAACAGTTTTGGGAAGAATCTTTTCTGTTCCAGCATGACTGAGCCCCAGTGCACAAAGCAGCTCCATAAAGGCCAGGCTGGGTGAGTTTGGTGTGGAAGAACTTGACTGGCCCTAACAGAGCCCTGACCTCAACCCCATCACACACCTTTGGGATGAACTAGAACGGAGATTGTGAGCCAGACCCTCTCGTCCGACATCAGTGTCTGACCTCACAGATGCTCTTCTGGATGAATGGGCAGAAATTCCCACAGACTCTCTCCAACATCTTGTAGAAGCTTCCCAGAAGAGTGGAAGCTGTTAGAGCTGCAAGGGGGGGACCAACTCCATATTAATGCCTATGGATTTAGAATGGGATTCATAAAAGATCTTGTAAGTGTGATGTGTAGGTGTCCCAATATTGTTGTTACGAGTAATAAATATTTATTATTATTTCCTGAAAATAGTCACTCTGTCCATCTCAGTCCTTCTTCCTCCTCATGAAGGTGTTGGTCTTGTGATTCATAGCAGAACTTATCCCAAAGTAGTGTTCACAGGGGGCAGTGCACAATTTCCAGTTGGGTCCACCAAGTGCAAAAGTACCAAACTAAGCCAAGACCATCTTGTGGAACTATCGTTCATTTTAAGCAAGAGCACTTCTGTTCTGCATGCATTAGTTTATTTTTGGTTTTCATTAGCTTTTCTTTTTACACTACATATTTGAGAAGAGCAGCGCTGCTTTGTTTACTAATTTTACAGTTCCAACTTGACCTTGTTCACTAGCTAGCATTCAATTTAACATCCTCCTAGTTTTCCAATATTTCCTGCTTTAAGTAGCTCCTCCTTCTCATCTTTACATTCACACTATGTCCATCAACAACGTACTCAAAAATCAACAAACTGTAAGTATGTTTTTAGTATGATTATACTTGAATCTGATACTTGTTAACATACTATATACTCCAAAACTACAGGGAGATTCACTTGAAAGAGCCCCCAATTATTCTGTTGTAACTCCCATTAGGATGAAGCAATCTGAACCAAAAAAATACGCTACATATCTTGACGTGCAGCTCAACACTGTACACCACTCTCTGGATGAGAAGTCGAGTGACTGAGTGAAGGGGTACGGGGGTCTGCACCTGGAATTTGCAAACGTAGGTTAAATGTCGCAACGGCTGTCCGGCGCCTACATCATCGCTCCGATGCTCATTGCACATTGTTTCATTCAGATTGCTTTGTCCTAGCGAGAGTTATTACAGAATATTTGGGGCCTCTTTCGAGTGAATCTCCCTGTAGTTAGAATCAGCCTTTAGGACAAAGCTGGGACAAGTTAGCCTGATTTGGAGTTAGCTCGAGGGGTGAAGTTGAGTTGGATGGGGTCTTTAGGAGCCAGGAAAGCACCGACACCCAACTCCAATGGCACCTACAAAAAACAACAAGAACAAACAGAGATTATTCACATTATAATTGTAATTTTTAACAGAAATATATATGCAGTACTGGAAAACTGGGTACGCATTTATATATATAACACTAGCATTAGAATTAATTCTAAGTAAATAAATAAAAAATGTTATTAATTTCAGGTTTATTGTTGTACTATCTAGGTTTTTAAGGAAAAATATATGATTTTGATAGGCTGAGCTGAAATTTCAGCTGTATTAGAGCTGTAGGTTAACGTCATAGCCAACACTGCTAGCTACTCTAGCTGGAATTACTGGCTTTAAAGGTAGGTATTGTGATATAAACTGAGTCTGTTCTACAGTTTCTCATTAGGCTGAATGAATAACCGACTCTAAATGTAGGTATTGTGTTATAAACTGAGTCTGTTCTACAGTTTCTCATTAGGTTGAATGAATAACTGACTCTAAATGTAGGTATTATGATATAAACTGAGTCTGTTCTACAGTTTCTCATTAGGTTGAATGAATAACTGGCTCTAAATGTAGGTATTGTGATATAAACTGAGTCTGTTCTACAGTTTCTCATTAGGCTGAATGAATAAGCGACTCTAAATGTAGGTATTGTGATATAAACTGAGTCTGTTCTACAGTTTCTCATTAGGCCGAATGAATAACCGACTCTAAATGTAGGTATTGTGATATAAACTGAGTCTGTTCTACAGTTTCTCATTAGGTTGAATGAATAACCGGCTCTAAATGTAGGTATTGTGATATAAACTGAGTCTGTTCTACAGTTTCTCATTAGGCTGAATGAATAACCGGCTCTAAATGTAGGTATTGTGATATAAACTGAGTCTGTTCTACAGTTTCTCATTAGGTTGAATGAATAACTGGCTCTAAATGTAGGTATTGTGATATAAACTGAGTCTGTTCTACAGTTTTCTCATTAGGCTGAATGAATAACCGACTCTAAATGTAGGTACTGTGATATAAACCGAGTCTGTTCTACAGTTTCTCATTAGGCTGAATGAATAACCGACTCTAAATGTAGGTATTGTGATATAAACTGAGTCTGTTCTACAGTTTTCTCATTAGGCTGAATGCATTCTTGTCTTGATCTCACAATAGTATTTACGCAACAACACATTTTTGGGCAGAACTCAGACAGATGGATTATTAACGTTTAACAAGTAAATGATTAGCTTTAGATGATCTAACCTTCGTCTCATCACAAACATTGATGTCAAATCTCTGCAGTATCTCTACGATGGCCAGCTTCATGGACACCAGAGCAAACCTCATTCCGATACAGTTCCTGGGTCCTGCACCGAAAGGCATGAAGGCATAGGGGTCTATACTCTCCTTATTCTCCTTAGTGAACCTACACAGGAGGGGAAAACAAAGTCTGTTTACTGTAGTCACAAATTTCTCACAATGACTCAATTAAAATTGGTTACATAAACAAAAAATAAGCAATTAAAATGTACATTCTCAATGAAATTGCTTAGAAATAAACAAGGTATTTGTAGTTCGTTATAAAGCCATGTTTGACAGACTAAGGATTCACTGTTAGATGAAGCTGTTTGCACTCAAATCACATTGTGAGCATCAATGGATTAGAGGAAACCCACACCAGCAGGATCTCACTGATGCACATATGTTTGCAGCTACAAATTGCATGTATATGAAGTAAAAGGTTTTATTTAAGTAAGTCTAGGCTGCACAGCTTGGCAGTAAACTAACAGGATAACAGCAGTTTCTACCTCTCAGGGTTGAAGGAATTGGGATCAGGCCAGTATTCAGGGTCTCTGTGAAGGGGATATGTGGGGATCATGACGGTCGTTCCCTGGGGGATAGTCACACCGTTAATCTCCACAGTTTTCTTGCAGATTCTTTCTAGCCGAGCAGCGACGGGGTACAACCTCAGAGATTCATTCAGAGCAGCGTCCAGATATTCCATACTCATCACTGAATCATACTGAACTGGAGCCTAAAGACGAACAAGACACAGTCAGTGCTAGCAAGGTTGTTCAGACACAATTAGTAAGAATATTCAGGATATATTTTTATGTTAGTGACTCAAGAGAAAACACTGAGGCCTTGTTGGTTTGGGAGAACCTCTAGAGTACCAACAGTCTCAAAGGTTCTATGGCTTTTCTCATTTATTGCAACAACATATGCTAATGTCCTGACCCTTTCTCAGATTGCTGGCAGTGTGCCCTTGAGTGAAGCATTTATGGCTGTGTGCAAAAGTGTAGGAGCCCCTGTTCAAACTCCATGTTCTGTTGACACTGACATTTTACTGTGAGGTAACACTTTATAAATGCCCCAAAGGGAAATTAGATTGTTCCAGCAGCATAAGACCAACACAGAATACATACATAATAAGGTAAAAATAGTAAATTAGGATAAGAAAACATATGGCATAAAATAGTATACAATACTATACAATACAACTGTAACTAGAAAATATAAGTGTATATATACATATAACTTAATTTTATCGCAATATGTTAAACTCAGCAAATAAACAGAAATTGTACAGTAATATTTACAGAATGCCATATTTTATTGTGCTCTCTGTAGAGGATTTCAACACATATGTCAACATATTTTTGACTAGTGGTGTTTACAGTTTGCCTGTGACTGTGAGTCTAAAGTTCATCCCAGAAGTGTTGCATCACTAAAACATCCTCAGTATGACAGCTTTAATTATGATTAATTATTTTTATTTTATTACACAACTAGTAGTCTATCAGTCATTATCGCTTGTGGGGTTCCACAGGGGTTTGTACTTGGTCCTTAAGACTTTTCGTCATTGGTTCTAGACATGTGATAAAAATTTTTCAGCTGATGGTTTCAGTAGTGTTTTTTCTTGTTTCCACACTTTTGGTTCTTTATTTTGGTGAATTTGTAAAAGGACTCAGCGTTCGTCACCTTATCTGGAAAGGTCTGGTCGATCTCTTCCTGAAGTTTCTTCATCGTTTCTGGGTTGGCGGCCATGTTGTAGAAGAAGAAGGACAGAGTGCTGCTACTCATCTCATAACCAGCAGAGATGAAGATCAAGGACAGAGATAAAATCTCATGATCACTCAGACCTTCAGAGGTAAAACATAAACACAAAAACAAGGAGGATATTTTTTCTGTATCTAAAGCCAGTAACGTAACAGTCGCTCTGTAAATCTGCCTCAAATCACCAGATTTCAGGAAAAGTTCCTTGTAGACTATCTCATATTTTACTTTGGGAAATAATGTCATTGTGTCTAATAGATAGTGTGCAGAATTCTAAGCTTGTATCTTCATGAGTTTTAGGTGAATACAGGCTTTAAAATGTGGGTGTGGCTGTTGTTTTAACATGAGTGCTATGGAAACCAAGTACAAACTTTTTATAATAAGATTTTCTCATAGGCCAACTGTTTGTTTTTGAGGGGCCATAATGATGCAGCAGTGTTACTCGCACATCTTACATTTTGTCTAATACAGTTTTGTAACTGTGTAGTATTTAGTGTATTTTTTCATTCATATCATTTATTTTACATTCTTTGTTTTGGTGCTTAAATAAATATTGTTTGATTCAAGATTCAAGTTTCATATCTGGTACATTTATTAACTGAAATAGCACAGGCTGGATATTTGATGGTTTCCCTTTTTAATCTTTCACAAATTAGAAGCCTTTATTATGTTAACATTAATATCTAAATGGCAAAAAGGGTGTTATTGTAGGAGTAATAAATATCAAAATGTGAAAAATGTCCCTTCTGAAGATCAAAAATCTAAAAGAAATCTGAGAAAACTTTGAAAGTTTTTGTTGTTTCCTGGTGGTGTCCAATTTTCACTAATGGTATTTAGTTTTTTTCCAGATATTGGTTCATATAGTGTAAAGGATTCTAATTATTTTAAGAGGTTATGATTATAGATGTTTCTGGTGGTTTCCTAATGGGATCTAAAGGTGTCCTACAGGAAACTAGTGGTATCTAATCCTAACCATTAAGCCAGTTTGTGACGAATCAACAGAAACCAGATGCTCGCGGATAAAAAGGAGAGTATCAGGTTTACTTCCAGAATCAAAATCCACAAACGTAGTCAAAGAACAGGCAATGGTCAAATCCAGCAAACCCAGCAGAAGTGTTACGATAGGCATAACACCAGACAAACAAACACAAAAGGGTAAGGCAAAAGACGTAGTCGTAGAGGCAGGCAAAAGGTCAAAACACGAATCAAAACACAGTCCAGCAAAAATACAAAGGGATTAAGCAAAAAGGCAGAGTCAAAAAACAAAGCAAACGGTCAAAAACAGGATACAATCAATGATGAATCGCGCTCAGTAGTTTACAGTGAAACAATACCTCGCAACTAAACATGACTAAAGCCCGGGCTTATATACTAAACTATGAGTCATATGACTGCACACACAGGTGAAACATATTAGTATTCGGGTGACTGAGAACGCTGATAGGAGCGTGATAGAGAGTCAGAAGTCATGTGATCTCCCAGAGGAGTCCATGTCTCTCTGAGAACATGCCGGATGTGTGACAATACCCCCCCCCAAAGAGTCCAGGTGGGCCTTGGCACGAGGACGACCAGGACGACGACCACCTCTTCCATCACCGGGTTTCCGAACAGGGGCTGATTCAGAACTGTCGAGGAGCTGGACAGACGGGTCCCCATCACGCTGACCTCGTAGGCGATCAGGCCGGGAATTAGGGAGCCCCTTCCGTGGGCGACCCCTTGGACGAGGAGCAGGTTTAGCCGGGTGTTGGCTGTGGAAGTCCACTATCAGACCAGGGTCCAACACGTCTCTAGCAGGTACCCAACACTGCTCCTCCAGGCCATATCCTTCCCAGTCTGCGAGGTACTGGAGGATCCCGCCCCGTCGTCGTGAGTCCAGTAATCTACGGACAGCATATACTGGAGCCCCATCTATCTCCTCCGTCTGAAGGATTGTTATGACAAAAGATTCTTAAAAACTTTCCCAGTTCCTGGTTCATTCGTTCGCACTGACCGTTGGATTGTGGATGATATCCTGAAAGGCTTATGGAGACCCCAATGTGTTCAAAAATGTCTGCCCACACCTGAGAAGTGAATTGGGGCCCCCTATCAGACACTATGTCCTCAGGGATACCAAAAAGTCTAAAAAAGGTGATTGAACAAAGCCTCAGCAGTCTGGAAAGCACTGGGGATGGTAGCAAACGGTATAAACCGTACCCCTCGAGAAAACCTGTCTACCACAGTCAAAATTGTAGTAAATCCTTGTGATTTGGGTAAGTCCGTTATGAAGTCTACTGCTATGTGGGACCAGGGTCTATCGGGTATAGGTAAAGGAATTAACTTGCCTGCAGGTAGCATTTTTGGGGTCTTACATTGGGAACAGGTTGAGCATGAACTTACAAATACATGGATATCCTTCACCATGGATTCCCACCAGTATCGTTGAGCGAGGAGCTTGTGGGTTCTGGTCTCTCCGGGATGTCCAGACGTGATAGAGGAATGCGCCCAGGTGATGAGCTGAGTACGAAAGGACTCGGGTACGTAAAGCTTTCCAGGAGGACATTGACTGGGCACTACTATCTTGGACAAAGCATTTTCTATGGCTTCATCTATCTCCCATCTGATAGATGAAATGGTAACCTTGGGGGGAAGAATGCGTTCCGTTATTTCGGATTCTTGTGTGGGGGTATCTGTTTGGTGAATCCTGGACAAAGCATCTGCTTTAGTATTGCGAGAGCCAGGTCGATAGGTTATACTGAAGCGAAAACGTGAAAAGAATAATGACCATCTAGCCTGGCGGGCATTTAGCCGTTTAGCACTACGAAGGTATTCTAGGTTCTTGTGATCAGTTATTATGGTGAACGGGTGGTTAGCTCCCTCAAGCCAATGTCGCCACTCCTCCAAAGCTAATTTTACTGCCAGCGGTTCTCTATTGCCAATACCATAGTTCCTTTCGGCCAGAGACAACTTATGAGAATAAAAGGCGATAGGATGCAATTTCGGAGGAGACCCAGAGCGCTGCGATAATACGGCCCCTACTCCCATCTCGGAAGCATCCACTTCGACTATAAAGGGCTGTGTCGGTTCGGGATGTTTAAGAATAGGTGCTGTCGTAAAGGCTTCTTTGAGGCTTTGGAATGCCTTCTCTGCCTGCTCTGTCCATCTTAGTTTCTTGGGGGCTCCCTTTAGGAGGGAAGTGAGTGGGGCAGCAATAGAACTAAAATCTCTAATGAACCTGCGATAGAAATTGGCAAAGCCTAGAAATCTCTGCAGTTCTTTAATTGACGTAGGAAGAGGCCACTGAACCACTGCTTCTACTTTATGATCATTCATGAGTACACCTTGTTCGCTAATGATATAGCCTAGGAAAGCAACCGACTGCAAGTGAAATTC